ATTAAATAATTGAATTGAGTTGATCTTAGTGATCCTCGAGAAATTCTGAGAATTATTTAAATAGTTTAAGTTAGTTTTGTTAAAGAATATTAGTTATCTTTCAGACCCTTGTCCACATATTGGTACAACACCATTTTAAAAATGCTATATGAACAGTGCTTATATAGTGTTGTAAAATGTTTTATTTAATTCCCGATAAAGTTGTAAATCTCCTTTTGAAAAACAGAATTAGTTCAAAATATCAACTAGTAACAACAGTTTAGCCTAAATTATTAATTATATTATAATGTAAAATTAGATTCTATATTTTTAACTATGAAAATAAAATTTTGAAAAATTTTCAATATTTATAAAATCATTTTTTTCAGTCTTTTTAAAAATTGTGTAATAAGTATTTTAAGAGATTTGTGTAAAAAGATTAAATCATAATAAAGAAAAATGAGATGATGATTTTATTAAATTATGTTTATTTATTAATTCTATAATTTTGCAATAATGGACCTTGGTGATTATATCAAAGTTATTATTAGCAAATTTTCTTTATTTATAAAATAACTAAGACAACTAAAGCTTGCATCATGTTACTTTATGTTAGCTATTATTTTTCTGTAGTAGATCTGGCATCAGACCATGTATTCCATAATTATTCCTCCTTCAACTTGTAGACATCTTGTAAAAAGGGCTTTATAAATTCTGTAATAATCAGTTTTTTTTTGCTTGTTAGCGATGCTGACATATTTTACTTCAGTTTTCCGTTGCGCCATTATCAAAAAGTCAAAATAATGCTAGTACAATAGTACTTAAAATAGATAAAAATATGAATATAAACACTTGAATTTTCAAGTTTATAAAATAATTAATTGAACTTTATTTAATGCTTTCAAAAAAAAATATGTATCGAATATTTGAAAATATGTACATGAACAAAATATTATACAAATTATGAACGAAGTTTATAAACTATGTTTCACTGTCGTAACTTCGGAATTTTGTAATTTATCATGTGGTTATTGTGGTTATTACTGTAACATGAATTGAATTGAATTGTGGCTATAAAATTTGATGCCTATCTTGCCTAATCAAAAACTAAAAAATTTAGCAAATCAAAATTCGTTTATGACAAAGTGACACCTGAACAAGCCTTCTCAAAAACTATTTAACGGTCGCAGCTGGTCACCCGAGTTCCTTCCCTACCTGCATCAGCTCCTTGCTACCAAAAAAAAGAAAAAAATATTGATTTAACGTATAGTAAATAACATATATTATGGCAACCGCAACCGATTTTGCTGACGTTGACGGCTGGATTCAACATCTTATGCAATGTAAACAGCTGCCAGAAGCTGATGTAAAGAGATTGTGCGACAAGGTATTTTAGATGCGCGAAACAAATGAAAACCAATATTTAATATATATCGTTTCAAACTAGTATAGTCTGACTCTTGAACTCTACGTTGAATTTATGCCCCTGATGATTCAACAACCTTTTAATTTTCTGCCGCTTGACAATAAATGAAAATGTTATTTGAAATACTTTTTAGATTATAAAATATTTATCAATGTCTTATTGGAATTCTTGTTTTTATTTTTTTTTTTCACTATAGAAAATTAAACTGCACATAATTATTTGAATTTTAACATAATGTTTAATTTTGTCGCAAAATAAATACCCGTCGCGTAGGCTCGGGAAATCCTTATGGAAGAGTCTAATGTGCAGCCCGTTAGATGTCCTGTAACAGTTTGTGGAGATATCCATGGCCAATTCCATGATTTAATGGAACTTTTCCGTATTGGAGGAAATTCCCCAGATACCAACTATTTATTTATGGGAGATTATGTTGATCGTGGTTACTATTCGGTTGAAACAGTTACTCTACTTGTCGCTCTTAAAGTCAGATATAGAGATCGCGTTACAATTCTTCGAGGGAATCACGAATCTAGACAAATAACCCAAGTTTACGGATTTTATGATGAATGCCTAAGAAAGTATGGTAACGCAAATGTTTGGAAGTTTTTTACCGACCTATTCGATTTTCTACCTCTAACAGCATTGATTGATGAACAGGTTAATATTTGAATTTAAAATATTTAAAATTGATCTTTTTAAGAATTTTAAGAATTTTAAGAATTTCAATATTTTCAATATTTTCAATATTTTCATTTCAATATTTTCAATAATTTCAATATTTCAATATATTTTTTGAGATGATACGATGATTACAAATGATTTCATTTATTCTATTTAGATTTTTTGTCTTCATGGAGGTCTTTCTCCATCAATTGATACATTAGATCATATTCGATCATTAGATAGAATTCAAGAAGTTCCACACGAAGGTCCAATGTGTGATTTATTATGGTCTGACCCAGATGATCGATGTGGTTGGGGGATTTCGCCCAGAGGTGCTGGATATACCTTTGGGCAAGACATATCAGAAGCATTCAATCATAATAATGGACTAACATTGATCGCTAGGGCTCATCAATTAGTTATGGAGGTACGCATACAAGATTATTTTTATTATAAATTATTTAACTCGGGGGGTAATTTTGGATAACATTTTCTAATTATAATGTTACAGGGATATAATTGGTCACAAGATAGAAATGTCGTCACAATCTTCAGTGCTCCAAATTATTGTTATCGATGTGGTAATCAAGCTGCTATTATGGAGATAGATGAACATTTGAAATATACTTTGTAAGTTACACATTTTTTATCTATTTATTTATTCATTCATTCTCATATTATTATTATTATTATTATTAATTAATTAAATTCTCTAATCTTGTGATTCAAATAAAATAAAAATTGTAGTCTACAATTCGACCCCGCTCCAAGAAGAGGAGAACCACATGTATCTCGTAGAACACCTGATTACTTCTTGTAAACTTAATTATACATAGCGTTTACCAAAAGTATTAGTTTTGCGGTAAAAAATCATTCTAATATCGTTGATCGATTTGTTTAACCACATTCCGAGATTTTTATTATTGCATGTAAAGTGAAAAAAACATAGTATCAGTTTACACTCCACTTCATACATTCGTAGAACCCTTGGTATATTTAACTTATATATATATATATATATATATATGCTAGGGATATTCAGAATTTTTTTTTTTTGTTTTGTATAAATTTACCTTTTTATTTTTAAAATCTCATTTCTATAAAGTCTGAAAACCACGGTTTATTTATATTTTAAATGAAATAATTCTTAAATCCTATAAAGCACTACTCTGTTTAATCAATAATGAAAATAGTAATTTGTATAAATATCCATTATAAGGAACAGATATGAAATAGAAAAATGAATGAAAAGATATTTTATTGATATTTAATATTAAAGAATTAATAAATGTAAGTTCAAGTAATAAATTTAAACTATATTTTGAAATATAAATTAGCGCGTCTTAATTTAGTGTAACTAAATTATATCGGAATAAATTATGATTGGTAGATAATAAAATTATATATAATGAATTCTTTACAACAAAGCTCGAAAATCATGTCAACTCGAGAGATATCTGTGTTGTTCGTTTGCCTAGGTATATTAGTTAACTCCAAATATTACTATTCACATTATACAATAACTTACATTTTTACCTTTATTTTATTATTTATCAGGAAACATTTGCCGAAGGTATATTAATTAAATTTATATTCTTTTCATATATACTGTATTTACTTATTCTCTTTTTTTATACAACGATCGATAATAAAGTCCTATGGCGGAGGCAGTTTTTTTAAATCTCATAAACAATAAAAATTTAGAATCTCGATTTAAAGTTGATAGTGCTGGACTTATTGGTTATCATGCTGGTAAAGAATTCGAAATCATGATTAATTATTATTAAATTATAATTAGTTATTATTAATTATTATCTATCAATGATTTAGGAGAATCGCCCGATGAACGAACAGTTCGGACATGCCTAAAACATGATGTACCTATAAAACATTTCGCGAGAAAGGTTAGTCATATAAATATTATGAAAATATGTATGCATATATAGTAAATATTTTTTAATAATAATAATTTATTTCTAGATAATAAAACAAGATTTTCTTGATTTTAATTATATATTGTGTATGGACAATTCTAATTTAAGAGAATTGATGAAAATTCAATCTAAAGTCAAAGTCAATGGACCGAAAGCCATTGGTGAAGTATAATTTTTTTTCCTATTTTTTTTTTTATTTGTAATATGTTCTGACAATTTATAAATTTCTTATATAAAATTAGTAAAATTATTTGGAGAATATGATCCACTTGGTGTTAAAATCATTGAAGGTGAATATCAAAAAATGTCTTCTTCAATATATTTCGTTTTAATTGGTTTAATTGACCTTTTTTTTTTTTTTTTTTTTAAGATCCATATTATGGTGGCATGGATGATTTTGAAACAAACTTTAACCAAGTTACTAGATGTTCAGAGGCGTTTTTGCAAAGTTTAGGAATTGAAAATGAATTGCCATAAATACTAAAGGATATCAAATCAAAATTTAAAAATTTGAATTTGAATTTTTTTTTTTTTTTTTTTTTTTTAAAAAAAAAATAATATTTAAATATTCAATAGAAATAGAAATATTTATATAGAAATTTATTTATTCATTTTTCAATGAGATTTACATGATTGAATGATAAATAATAATAAATATTATTCAATCAATCAGATTTATAACTTTCATTAATTTCTTTATGGTCTTCACATTTAATCAATTTCTGCACTATGTTATTGATAATTTTTTTTTTAATTTCTTAATCTGAATCGCTAATGTATTCTAGTTCTTCCGATGCTGGTGGCATAATTGGAAGCTTACATAATTCGAAAAATAACAATAATGAGTAGTGTGCATCGTTACCTATAAATAAATATATATAATAATCATTTATTAATGATGAATGATAATGATAATAAAACAAACAACAATTATGATAACGTGAATTCACCAGCATTATGTAAACTGTAATTTTCAATATCTAGTAGATCTAATAATCGACCAAGACTGATTCGTTCATTTGGTTTCCCAATTCTCGCTGCATTCATTTCTGCCGTATCAAATTGAAAATCATCTTCGATAAGGTCATTTATTTTAACCCCCATGGTTTCTAAATAATTGATATCCATATTAACTCCATGTCCAACGATGACAACATATCCTTTGACATCATCGCTTGTTAGATCTTTTACGAATTCATCCGCAATTGTTTTTTGATCTTCCCAGATCGTTTTCCCAAAGTTAAATCGATTTTTCATATCCGGAACGTATTGGCCGTTTCTCAGATGTTTATTTTCATTCACACAAAAGTGTCGATCCATATATAAGTCGGTTTTGGAATTATACATACTCCAACCAACTTCTAAAATACAAGAGTGGTCTTTTTCATAACTTTCAATATCAATCGCCACAAAAAAATATTTTTTAGCCTGATACATTTTTCGCGCATTTTCCGATTTATGTATCATTTTACGAAGTTTGGTCTTTTCTTTGGCCGTTTTGTTGAATGACTTCATTTGTTTGTCAATACCTTTGTAAGCTTTATACGAATTAATATAAATGGCCTCGAGATTCTCATATGAAACAATACTCGAAGGCATTGATGTAATTCTAGTCGAAGCAAATTCTTCTAATTCTGTTCTAATGGCTTTTACCGAATCCTCAGATAGTAACAAGCATTTTACCCCCTCCCCATCAATACCTTAAAATAAATGAAATTACGCATGAGACGAAAATAAAATATTAAATAACTTTCCAAAATGCCTTTGCGGAATGCGTATATAATTAGTGAATATTGTTATCCGAGTAATTGAGTATTTTACTAACCAAGAAAGAATTTGGTTTTCTGGTGTCTTGCAAAAAACTGTGGAAAGTTGAAGAATGTCCTCGCACTGTCATCCTTTATCGCTTTGCTCAGAAAAGTTTTAACATGATAAAAGTTATAATACTGAACTTCAGACATTTTACAAGAAAAACAATGATTGATGATAATATAATTTTATGTATTCGGGTATTCGGTGACACAATTTATGGTTTATTTCTAAAAGAAAATATATTAATTTTTACAATACATTATTTATATTATTTCTTGATCCTTTATTCTAACCCCTGGTTCCTTAACCTGGTCCAAAATGTATTTTTTTGTGAAATGTTATCGATGGTGCAATGTGCAAACTGCATAAAAGGGGCACGAAAATCCGAATTTGGTCTTATTCATATCAATGGAAAATATAAATTTTGAGGTAGAAACAGAACAAGGCTTTAAACTTCATGGAACATTGCATTTAAAAAATGAAACGCTATGTGATGATATTATTATATTTTGTCATGGTCTTTTAAATACAAGAAACTCGAATATTATTCAATCCGTTATTAATAGAATTAAATTTAATTCTATATCTTTCGACTTTCAAGGAAATGGAGAAAGTGAAGGAACGACAAATTTCGGAAATTACGTTGAAGAAGTTGAAAATCTTCGTTGTATTATTTCTTATGTGCGATCCACATTGAAACGCAAAGTTCTTTGTATTTGTGGACACAGCAAAGGCGCAATTGTCGTTTTAATGTATGGGTCAAAATTTAATGATGTCCCTTTAATCATTAATATTTCTGGTCGATATGATCATTCACCAAATCCACCTTATTTTACTTCGGAACAAATTGATCAATTAAGAACTACTGGATCAATTGTTTTATGCAAGTTTGGGTTAAAGAAAGATCGAGATTATGTCGTCCGTCAAGAAGAATTTGATACACGAAAGCAATTAGATATGTCATGTGTAAAAAATATTGATAAACAAAAAGTAAGAGTTTTAACCGTCCACGGTTCCAAAGATGATATTTGCCCAATTGAAGGAGCTCACACTTATCATCGATTAATTGGTCCTGAACCTTATCACAAATTAATTATAATTCCTGATGCAACACATATTTTTAATAATGGTGAGCATCAGAAAACTTTGGCGATGCAAATACAATCTTGGATTTCTGAAAATTTATCATAATTCAAAAATAGTTTAAAATTTATTTAATTCACAAAACTGTAGATTATATACCAGTAAAATACATTTGATAACATTAAACACTAGTTTTTTAATATAAAATACAGATATCGAAATCTTAATAAAAAAAAAAAAAAATTCGAACTAGAATAACAAGTTTAATAAAAGATCACACCCAAAGTTTAATAAAAAAAAATTTAATTAAAACACCAAAACTGGTTATTTATTTATAACTTAAACAATATTTGAATACACGCTGAAGATCTATATACCCGACCGCTGATTTTGAAATATAATTATTTACTAAGGCTTTCAATCTTTTAAATTCTAGGAAGACTTGATTATCTATCATAAAATCATGTTGAAAAGATTAATTTTTGCATCAAAAAATCTTAAGAAAATCATCGACATCAAATACTTATTAAATACTTTACCAGAATTAAAATTTATTTTTGTTAATTTATTAATTTTATCAACATCGAATAAATATGCATAATATTGCAATTGTTTGTACAACATGGTTTCGTTATACTGCAAAATGAGAAAAAAAAATTTAATAACGTGCATAAAATAGATTTCAATTTTAATATTGAACAATCAATTTACCTCCTCTAACAATGTTCCGCTACATCCATTACAAACACATTTTCTTTTTGCGGTAATCATCCTCGTTTTATATCGACAGTCTTCTTCATCACATATATGCCAGCCATCATAATATCGTTTTATATTTTTCCTGATCTTACAAGTAACTTGAGCCAATACCGAAGGCAAAGGAAGAGCCTTATTGCAATGTTTATTTCCACAAATGATGCCTGTCACTTCAAGGCGATGTTCCTCCTATAATTCAATTATTTAATTAACAAATAATGTTGAATATTGTTGATAATGTTGATAATTCACGAACCTTTTCAAGATCAAGATTTAATATGTCATAAATACGAGCTTCTTTACAATGTATGCATTTTAAGGTCAATTTCTCAACATTTTTAAAACGTTCTTCATCCGAAATTTGGGATTCAAGGGTTTGAAAAGTCTGCGCAATGACTGAAGTACTCGTGTTATGTCTAGGCGGTTCAAATCCTATACAAAAAAAAAAATCACAGATAATTAATGTCTCCTTTGATGATAATTTTTTTTTTATAAATTAATGACACTTACCTAAACAATCGGCAATAAGCGCACTGTTTGTTCCATCGATAGGTTCAATTAGCCTAGTAACGGCTGCATGCACTTGTTGAACCAAATACCATTTATAATCTAAAAATTTTATAAAAATACAAAGTTATATTAACATCAATTTTACAAAAATAAAATTTATAATCTGTCACGCAAAGAATTTACCAATTTGTAATCCGGAATCATTTCGTATCTCTTCTGGATGAAATGCCTTCTCAGAAACGGCTTTATTATTAGTAGAAGCATTATTCTCTTCGTCAACTCTTTTACAAATAATATATGGAATGGTGTCACCCTGACGTGCACTAAGCCCTCTTTTTTTAATCCGTAATGCAACTTGTACGTGTGGCTGACTTTTTATGTCCGGGTAGTCTTCCGGTGCTTTTGCAAGAACCTTATGTATGATAAATTTATTAATCGGAAAGTTCCCTGACCGAGTATCATTCCCCAATTTTTTCAAGTAATTATGGATGTTTTCTAACACCAGTTCTCGGTCGGATGATGCGGATAAAATTTGATCCAAAACATAACTTAATATATAAGTTATATAAATTATATAAATTGAATATTATTAATTTATATTCAAAAAAAAAAAAATACAGATATTAAAATATAAAACAATGTTTTAATATTATAAATACCGTGAAGCGTCAATAACTAATTCACACCAGTCGCGCCTCACTAAATCAAGACCTTTTGTTTCGTTTGATCTACTTTTTATATTTCCGTTAATCTCATTTATTTCTAATTTGATTGCCGCATATTTTTTCTTCTTAAGGAGAAGCAACTTCTCAAAGAAGCCTTCAACTTCAATCTCAATTAACTTGTATCGCTCGTTTGCTTTTCGTCTCAAAGTTTTTCCAACCTCCAATGCCTCCTTAATGTCCGTCGTGTTAGTGTAAATCATAATAGAATCTGTATCCCCGTATATAACCTAAAAAAGAAAAAGATAAAAAGAAAAGAAAAAAAGAAAAGAAAAAAAAAGAAAAAAAAAAGAATTTGAAAAGAAAAGAGAAATAATGATCGAATTGAACATCTCAATTAAAATATTAAAATTTAGTACCTCCATATTTTCACTTTCCGCCAACTCAACAGTGTTTTGCAAAATCTCTCGGCCTTTTGACGTAATTAACATGGCCAGGGGTTTGGCGTAAAATCTCGAAAAAGTGGTTCCCAAGCATCCATACATACTGTTTGCTGTAAGTTTAAGAGCTCTTTGACGAATATCAAACTATAATGAAACCAAGAATGAAACATAATAAAAATCGATGGATTCTAATGATAGTAATAATAATAATAATATATTTATTTATTATTCCTTACTTGTTCACGTTCACTATCAATAATATTAGGATCATTCATATATTTCTTGACCTGCCTTCTTCGTTCTACCAAATTTGAAATTATTTTAGGAAGAATTCCTTGATTCATATCAGAATCAGGTGCCTCCGGAATTTGATCTTCGTTTTCCTGAATAATTATTATTTATATTTAAATATTACCAATAAAATATTATTATTATATACAAAATTATATATACAAGAAGAGTTCCACTTTTATAACTTACTAGACCAGATCGCACAACCGTAGTAAAACAAATGTTGTACTCTTGTATAATTGATGGATATAAACTATTAAAATCCAACAAAACAACATATTTATCATAAAAACCAATTTTGGGTTCTAATACGAGACCACCAGCATAAGTAGGTTTTTTTCGGGTTCCTTTAATAGGTTCCGTCTTCTCGCCTATAATAATAATAATAATAATAATAATAATAATAAAATTTCTTACTATAGTCGATAATTTTAATAAATATTTAGAAATAGTCAAATGTATTAAAATAAAAATACCTTCATCATCTTCTCCGGTAACCTTTTCGGAAGTCATGGATTTCGATTTGGGAGGATTTTTTTCTGGACAAATATACTTTAATTTATGAAATTCATGTAGTAATAAATAATCATTACGATTAGCCCTTGCACCATCAAGAGTTTTTGACCTAATAATTCAGAATTAAGAATAAATTATTAGAATAAATAATTAGTCAAAAAAAAAAAAAAAACTTTATTCAAATGAGAGGATAGAAATAAGATATCATTAATATAATTAATATACCAAATGTTTCCGGCCAAATTTGTTAATTGTTTAGTCAAAGGAAGCAAATGAAGCTTAAACATTAATTCAGATGTAAGAATGGAGTCATAACGACAATGAAGGACCATGTCGTATAATTGTTGAGCTGAATTGTAATTAGATGCAATTTTATCATAAGCGATATCTTTTCGAATTACTCCCAAATATGTTGAAACGAGTTCAGTTAACGAGAAATTTTTGGATCTAATAAATTCCTTGAATATTTTTTAAAATGTTGATATTAAAATGATATCAATTAACATTCAATAACTGAAATATAAAAGTTTATTAATTGCGCAGATATTGATTTTATACCTTCGAACTTTGATAAGTGTCACAGACCAATCTACCACTTATAATTCCCTTTTCTGCAGAAGAAGAATCATTTCTACCTTTATCTTTTGTATTCAATGGTGGCATTCTTTTACATATGCAAAAAAAAAAATAGACATAAATTGATTTAATAATTCTTTTTTTATTATATTTTAATGATCAATAAATTAAAATCTAATTACGCTAGTCTGTGAAGCCTTCCAAGAGATGACCAATCTTTTATCTTTAATATTTTCATACGATGCAATAAAACATCTAAATCAAATCCAACAAAATTATGTCCAACAATAACATCTGGATCATTTTGTTTTATGATAGCTAAGGAATTAGGAAAATATTAATAAAAGAAAATAAAAATCAAATGATCAAATTTATAAATCAAATAAACGAAATCAAACATATTATTATTACCCAAGAACCGATTTAATAATGCAAATTCAGTTGTTTCCAAAGTCAAGTGTAATTGATCTTTTCGTTTCTTTACTAAATCTTCGAATTGACTTGGCCACCATGGCATATCAGTTAACTGACGAATTGATGTATATTGATTAGCCGCGAGATTTTTAACGGAAACTGATCCATCCAAATTAACTATATTGATTTAAAGAATAAAATGTAAAAAAAAAAAAAATATATGAATTAATCACAAAACTATCACAAACTATCTCAACAAACCTTGTGGATAAACCCGTGCACTGAATGCAACAGTCTCGTTAACATGTTTTTGATGGTTCATCACGGTACGTAAACTTAATGACATAATTTTCAATGGTGGAGGTTTTAATGGCTCTGATAAATCAGCTTCACTCATAGGTTTTATATTTTTAGGATTTCCAATAGCTAACTCACATTTGCACCAAGAAATCTAAAAACAAGTCATTTTTATTACATCATTTTTTTTTCATTTATAAATAATAATAATAAAAAAAATATAATAATAATGATAATAATAATAATAATCCAAATAAATAAAGGAATTACCTTTCTTTTTTCGATTACAGCATTATTGATTTCTAGCCAACAGGGACCTCTTATTTTTCGTTTTATCAAGAACAATTCTAAAGCAGAGTATTGTGTACCAAATACGTGACTAAAGGTTTTCCCGCTCAAGTCACTGGGCAAAGAAGGGTCTTAAAAATGAAATTAAGGCAAAAAAAAAAAAAAAAAAAAAAAAAAAAAAAAAAAAAAAAAAAAAAAAAAAAAAAAAAAAAAAACACAAAAAAAA